TGGCTTGACAACATTCTGTCTGGTTTCTTATTGTGTTGCTACATTCCTTGGCGACATGTTTCATGTCAGGGAAAACCAGAGGGCAAACTGCAGCAAAGAAAGCAGACTTCGGCTCTTTAGAAAACTTGATTCACAAGCAAGTGACTACTTAGTGACTCCAAAATTTAGTCACCATTTTTTTACCCGTAGTAAAACAAGCCAAGACCATATCTCCCACATTACCTTTGTTAACTTTGCAATTGGTCAGCCCCCTGAGCACCTCTTTTGCTCGTGAAGGATCCAGTTTACTCGCAAGCCATCTTAAGACGATGTTCTTGCAGTCATGAACTACAGTTGATGAGTTCATAGGTAAAGTACCAGGACCATTGAGAGTCAAAACTTGAGAAGTCTTTGCTGCGATCTTTTCAGCAGCTTCGGAAATGGCATTGTGGCAAACTTGCTCACAACATTCCTTCACAGGATCAATATTTCGGCAAGCAGCAAGAAGCTTCTCAGATTCCACAGATTTCTCAAACTCATCCACGTCTCTAACAGGACAAGACCGTTTGGTGAGATTTGATGGATGAATGGAGCATATTCTCCTCAGATTTTCAGCAGCACCCTGACCAATCAAGATCTGTTCGATATCCGAAAGACAGTACTTCGATGCACTGCCACTTAGAGCGAGCATATTGCTGGCTTTGCTCGCTTGGCCTATGAGAATAGTGAGTGTTGCTTCCAACTGAGGACAACACATGACATTGGCCAGAAGTGGAGCGAAGAATCCCCAACAATCGATTGATGTTACGCTCATCATGCTCTCAGCGGCAGTAAAGTTCAATGCGCACTCTCCTAGCAAGTAAGCAAGATCTCGAAAGAAACTAGTCAGAAAGAGTGGTCTCAGTTCAAATTTGGAGTGATGGTTTACTGATTAAGACGGAAACCACACCTGATAGTCGTGGAATTGTGCTGTTTGTGAAAGGAGTCAAAGGGGAAGGCGCTAAGATAGGAAGAAATGGCTGAGGAGCTGCATTAGGAGATAAATCCGGTAGCAAAGGTTCCAGGGAATTGCATCCTTCGAAACCTACACTAGCCATGATCACAAACTATCAATAAACACATCAACTTATTACAAATTCAGCCTAGGTATATCAGAAATTTCTTCCACAGAATGAACTGGAATTAGTTAGTTAGTACTTCTCTCTAGAGTGATGAGACCAACTATTTAACTTCCAACTACTGCTCTATTGGTCAACAACTGACCACCAGTAATCAAAGTCTTCGACTTTAACTTCTATCTTTGCTACACATCCCCTAAACGGGTTCAAAATTCTAATACTTTTGATAGGTTGAATTCACTACAGATGTCAAAACCCCAAACCTGAGTTAAACCCTTCTTTCCCAAAGCAAAATCTCTACACTAAGCAGCTAAATTAACAACCGCTACAAAGAATTATAAGTGCAAGGAAAGCAAATTAGAAAATGCAAGGCACCAATTTTAAGAACAGAGAAGAAAGCTTCTAAATTTGCAGAACAAACTTCATAGGAAACCCATCGAGCAGCACACAAAGAAAAGCATACCCAGATAACCACAGCTGCAATGGCAATCCTCGGGAACTCATAGATCAGGCTAAATTAGCAAGAACCCACATCAAAACTCAACAAATTGAAGCTGGGAACTCACTCAGAAGAAGCAGAAGAGGAAGGACAACGGCGGAAGTAAGCCTGCTGAGAGGAACTCCCTCATCCATAGCTCCCCGAACTGAAGAAACAGCTCTTCTCGAGGAAAATTTCAAGAGAACCAGCCGCAGAAGAACAGGGGACCTTAATTGAAGAGGGTGCTCACTGGACAGCTGGATAAAGTGATGATTCTGGGAGCAGGGGAAGCTGGAAACCAGTGAAAGCCATGAATTTTTGGTGGGGAAGGAATAAGGGGATGGGTGAAAGAAAGTTGAGAGCTTTCTGGTTTGTCAAAGTGCGAGAGTGTAAATGCTGAGTGTGAGAGTTGGGGACTGCCACAACAGCAATTTCCTTTTTTCTTTTCTTCTCTTCCACATCATTTCATCAGAACCCAAAAGCACGAAATTTCTCCCACTTCACATTTTCCAGTCTCTCGTTTTTATTTTATTTTATTCTTCCTCTACGTAATAATGATAAATGGTGGGGAAAATGAATGCATAACAACTACTACACTGCTCCAGTGCATTTAATAGAACGCCACCCGCCATTACCTATTTCCCTTAATTTTCAGCTAAAGATGCATGGAATCGAAAGCATAGTCCACGTAAAGGTGTTAATTAGGCATATCGCTTAATGTATTAATTAGGGCTAATATTCAATATTCATACTCTCTCATGCCAAATGTGAGTGAGGTCGGATAATAACAGTGCGAATATGAGGTGGCGGTTCAATTCATTCTCATTTATTATTTGAAGAAAATAAATACAATTTTTTTTGGTGATAAAATAATTCTTTTATAATAAAGTAAAGGAATACACATCATAAATGAAAATAGTGATAGTAAAATGAGTAATTGAGTTTAAATAATTGAAAGATTAAATCTTGCACCGATTAAAGTTTCATTAGCGTGAAACTATAATTGAAATATGAGAAATACAAATAGATTTTGAAAAATATTGAGATATGACATGCCAAGAATGGGATAGAGCGGTACGGTACAAATAGGAAATATTTAACAAATGCATTTTCTTTTAGGTACTTGCATAGTCTATGATGGAGAAATGAAATTATTGTGTGCATGACAGATTACAACGAGCACAAACACTTTTGTGAATAACATGTCAAGAATCTGTTATTTAATGTATTAGTTTACGTTTTGTGCCAAATTAACGTAGGAAATCGATCTTATTCTTTCCTGGGTGGACTTTTGATTAGTACTTTCACTTCACTTCATGTTGTTATTAAGATAATCATTTACTGGCGCTGGTCGGCGGGTCAGGCTCGTGTGGCACGTGACAGTGCTGACCTGGCAATTTGCTGTTGGGTTGGGTTCTGAGATCTTTAATTCGTCTAGCTGGCGCCTGGCTGTTGCTTGTTAGTTGGGCATTTAAGGAAGCCTTCATTCTTTCCAGAAGGGCCCGTTATAGACAATTTGGGCCAGAACTACGTGGGCCGCTACGGCGGTTGTATTAACGAGACAAAGGCCCGGCCTATCAACTCACCGGGCCGACAATTATGTGATATGCGGGCCATGTGATCCTAGAACTTACCAACACCACTTCAATGTTTTTAAACACTTTACGGCGGGAATGGATCAGGTCAGTAACCTTATGGTGAGTAACCATGAGTAATCCGTCCACATTAGCATGACATCAGCATCATCTCTCTCCTGGAAAGTCTTTAATTTTCCCCTCTTTAATCTTTGACGGACGATTTCTTACTCATTTTAAGTTGAAATTTAATTTTTTTTCACAGTTAGATCAGATTAATTGTGCTCTTCAAAATTATATCCACTTAATATATTTTTTGAACAAAAAAAATTGAGCCATTTTTTACCAGTCTATACCATATGGTATTGACTGGTATTGAAATAAAAGCATACCTATGGTTTGAAAAACGTACCATGGTGGTATGAACAAACCAAGACTGTAGGATGGTTGAATACATGATAGTAAAAGTATATTAATTGTCATTTACGACTTTTAACATTGTATACCACACAATACCACCCCGTATCAGGGTGGTATTGTATGGTATTTTTTGGTCCTGTAATTTGTTCACCCAGAAATTTGTAGATCAAATAGATCATGATGAACTCGTCCCTTCTGTGCAAACGTTTTCAAAAACGAATTAAAAACGAAGAAGATACCATACAATACCAACCCGTACCAGGGTGGTATTGTATGGTATTGTGTGGTATTTTTTGGTCTTGTAATTTGTTCACCCAGAAATTTTCAGATCCAATAGATCATGATGAACTCGTCCCTTCTGTGCAAACTTTTTCAAAAACGATTTAAAAACGAAGAAGATACCATATGGTATGCAGTTGGTACCGAGATGCCAGAATTTTTTTTCTCAAAAAATATTGAAAATTGATCTCATTTTGTAGAGCACGATGAACTCGTTCCATCTTTGCAAACAAAATTGAAATCCAAGTTAAAACGAAAAAGATATGAGTCAATTAAGAAAACTAGAAAAAATAAAAATGGTCTTTAATTCTCCCTCCTTAAGTCTGAATTTTCTAAATAAAGGGTCCATATTTGGTTATGCACCCTATCTTGAGCCCTTTACCGCCCCAGTCGGACCAGATTGTGCTACAAATTGGTATACAGTTTTAGTGGTATCAGGTATGGAATAGTCAATTCACAGTTAAATTATTATTTTAAATATATATGCTATTATTGATTTTTCTGCTATAGACTTCGATACAATTTCACAATTTTTGAGCTAAATTCACCTCGGCTTGTATCTCGACCGAATGTATAAAACTAGACTAAATTAGTAGAAAAGTTTACGAATTCGGATGGAACACGAACTTAATGAATATGATCTTATTTATTGATATTATCATTTTTTGAATTAATAATTAAAAAAATCAAATTAAATCGATAAAAGGAGAATAATTTTTGGAGTAGAGAATGAAATATCGAATATTATTCAACCATTTAAAATTAAACTATGCACCAACTTTGACTCAATTCAATATACCATCCCGTAGAAAGGAAGAACTTTCCTTTTCTCCAAGACAAGAAGAGGAAAGCAACCACATGACTCCAACAAGCCTTTTTCAGTTGGCTCAGATTGGGAAATCCAAAAGATAGAATACAAATAAGAATAAGCAATTTTACAATATTATATAGTATTGGTGCTATAAGATTTTGTTTTTATGGTACAATCTAAAATTGTACATTTTACATTATGGTACAACTTCAAAGTGTATTTATACTTTTTATATAAATTCTTTTATGGTACAACTTGAACTTGTACCTTTATTTGATGGTACAACTTCAAGTTGTAAACTTGTACCATAACATAATGATACAAATTGTTTTATGGTACAACCTAAACTTATACATTTAATATTATGGTACAACTTTAAGTTGTACATTAAAGCACCAAAATACTATATAGCATAGTAGAAGTGCTCAATACCAATTCCTTCACCGAATCCACCTTACGCTAAACATCACCACCTCAAACTCCAACACTAATTAAATTCAATATTATCATATCCTAAACTCGACATCGATTAACAATGAATTTATCTAAAATTTATTCTAACTCAAATTTTTTTTTTTCAAGCGAGTTAAATGTTATAATTATCAAGAGTCGAAGAACAAAGAATGTTAATATTTTTTTCATCGTCACAATCTGTACAAAGAACAGAACCGGAATCAATTTACACAGACCGGAGAGAGACATAGAGAGAGATCAGATTCTCTTTCAGCTACACCTCCGGGATGCTCTGCAGCACGGGCTTCCAGTGCCGGTGATGATCCTCGTCGGCCGGATCGCTAAACAAACCCGCCGCGCCGCCGCCGCCGCCGGCGGAACTAATGATCAACCTGGCGAGAACTTGTTCCGACGACAAGCCTTGCATCTCCACTCTCGACATCAGCTCCTCCAGCTCCCTCCTCGACACCTTGATCTTCACCTCCCTCCCCGACGACGACGACGACGAAGAAGATCTCGCCGGCAGCAGCTGGTTCTTATCCGAAGAAGAATCGTCGTTGATTTCCTCTCCCCCAACGACGCTGTGTTCGCCGCGGTCGGCGTCGAAGAGGACTATCCTGTGGTGGTTGCCGAGGGCTTCCCAATCGTCGCTGTCGTCGTCGGCCCACACGGCCGTCGACGACAGGGATTTCCTGCAGCAGTTTCCCATTAATTCGGATGATTAACTAATGGACTTTTGTCTGCGTTTGATTATGAAAACGGAGATACTAAAGATTTTTTTTTTTTTTTATCTCTGTAGTAATAATAGAGCGGAATTTTGTCGGAAATAATGAATCGGAGCTGAGAAGAAGATGGGCGGAGTGGAGATTTATATATATATATAGCGTGGAGGAAGGCCGGTGTGGGGTACGTGGCAGTGAATGAGGTGGGACACGTAATGTGGAGAGGCTAGCTAGGTCTTATAGAAGGAAAGTAATAAAAATGTTTAAGAATATGCTAAATTACGAAATGGTCATTGTACTTTGGAGTTGTTAGCAAATCGGCTCCTTATTTTAATGTTTTGACAAACTTGTCATTGATGAAAGTTGGAATGGATAGCTAATGGATCGGACTCAAATAAAGGTCGGTATGCAAATAGTTCGCATCTGCGTGTGTGGCAACTGGCAACTCGTCTGTTTAAAATGTGGCAAGCCATGAGAATCATGAGCACGGTAAGGCGCCCCCTGAGAGTCAGGCGCCCCCCCTATCCCGATTATTTTAAACTTCAACAATCGTAATGTCGAGAACGGAAGAAAGAAAGTCAAGTGACTGATTCGTAAGTGGCCTAAAAATTCATGTCATTTATGTACTTGAGCCATTACTAAAATGGTGGAATAATAAATGTTTTGGAAGAGAGGATGCATGTGAATGACGAGAGATTCTCTCTTTGGCTGGTTGTACACACAGTTGAGTTAGCTGTTAGTTTAGTTGACCAGCTAAAAAAAAAACAGAAGTGAATGTAAAGCAAAGGCAATAATATTATGTCTATCCGTTTCCGCGTCGTCCCCTTCCCGATAACGATCGGCCGAAAGGTTGATGCCTCTCGGACTCGATCCACTCGTTTACTCGTTCCTTCTTCCTTCTTCCTTAAAATTTTCCCTTTGCATTACGACTTCATCTACCGTGCCCGCCACCTACTTTTTCTTGTATCAATTGATAAGAACAAACAATATACATCACTACTTGTAAATAGTGGGTGTACATGGGTCGGGTGGTTTCGGGTTTAGCCATTTTAATCATCCGAACCATGCACTACGGTTTATAAAATATCAAACCCAAACCCATCCAAAAAAAATTAAACCCTACGATTTGTTTCTAACTGGGTTGGGTCGGGTTGACGATATTTTTAAGTAAAATCCCAATCAAACATAAAATATATAATTATCCTGCATCATAAAAATAATTTATAACTAATTAAAATTTCAAACGAATAAACCGAGGTGAAATTTATCAAAATTCACAAATGTTTGTTTGAATTTTAATAAAATGTGATTTGCTTCAACATATGTCTAGTTTTTTCATGATATTTGTTGAAATACGCTAAAAAGTTTATAAACCATAATATGTTATTCTATTAAAATTGTACACAAGAAAAAGGATTACATGAATTGTAACTATATTCAATTTATTTATAAACTTTAAGTCGATGAATGCATCAGATTATGGAGACCATGAGAGAAAAACATGGCGAAATATCTTAATTTTCTCATAAGTATGGCTATATATACGACATAAACATTTTTTAGATATGAACTCATACTAATAGTTGGAACACGGGTTTAGTCGGGTTCTACGGGTTGTGTACTCCAAAATCCAAACCCAACCCAAAAGAGGCGGGTTGTACAAAATAAAACCCTCACCCAACCCAAAACCTTTGCTTTAGCGATAAATACGGGTGAGTTGGGTCGGGTTGGACGGGTAGGTTTTGCGGGTGTGTTTGTTCACCCCTAATTGTAAATTGTAAATTTCACTACTCGCCAGTTGGGCGGTTAGTAGGTTCAGCTCGGTTTGGTGTAATCGTTTATTAGATTATCAATTAGTTTTTTTTATTATCAATTTTTATTTACTATTAACAACATTGTTTATATTAGTATGTTAGGTTTGTTAACTGGTTCAGCTCGATTTGGTTATAATCGTAATCGTTTATTCGGTTGTCGATTAAATTTTTTAGCAATTTTTTACTTTTTATAGCACTGTTTATATTAGTTTGTTAACTGCAACCATATAGTTGGTGATCGGTTATTATATCGATAAATTGACTAACCGTTTTAGCAAGTGATTCGACAAAAGTTAGACCAAAACAAGTCATTGGTAGCCGAACCAACATAAGACCCAATCTTTTGTTCCAATTGTACATTTTTCCCCCTACAAATGTATGTGTTTTTTATTTTATTTGTATTATTGGTTTGGGTTTGACTTGTTGTTCCTATTAGGACTGTGAGAAGAAACCGAAGAGAGGAAGGAGAAGAGTGACTAAATGCAAACTGGGTGAGGGAAGCCACTGACCGAAGAAATTGGAGGGTGGTATTTGCGATCTTTTATCCAGCAGAAACCATCTTATCTTCTTAATCCAATCTTGATGCCTACATTTCAATCACAAATCTAACGTGACTTTTGCCTCTTTCAATTTTAGAGGTCACATTAGGAGGAAATTAGGGAAAGATGAAGAGGGTTGGGCGAGGAGGAGATAATTTATTCAAAGTTTGAGAGTTCTTTTAGGAGGGACTTGCCTGTTTGGGTGGGGGGGGGGGGAATATAGATATCCACATTAGTTTAGTTGTCGGTTAACCATTAGCAAATTTTGACTACACTGGAAGTCATTTTAGCCTGTCAATAATCAACCCGCCAAGTTATAATCGGTTAACGATATAGCTATATATAGTTGACATACTCGACTATAGCTAATTTGGAGTACTCATCACTCTCTAATATGTTTCCAAAAGAACGTTACTTACGAGTTTGTTAAACATTAACATACTCAAAACCGATCTCATATACATCCCTGAAAGTGAAACACTCCCAACTCTCAAGGTCTTCGTGATCCTAGTTGCAAATGAGAATTACGTAAAGGAAGATCCAACTTCTATATGGAGACCGACAAAACATAGTGAGTAGTGTGGCGAAGCCGATACCCCAAAAAGGTCGGTGTTTTTGTCGGTGACGCCGGTGGGACAGGTGGCGGCTGGTTTAATTACTAAGTAAAGATTTTTTTCAGGGAGGGGAAACATGTGGGGAGCAGGTGGTCAAACTCTCTAATGAATGCAATCTTTTTAGATTAGGATTCATAGTTTCGTACGGATTAATAATTAATCAAATATTAATTAATTGATTAAGTTAGCTAAGAAAAAGCCAAAAGGATGCCTAAACTTTCTTTTCTGGGAAGCGAGGTGGCTTTTAGTTGAGTGTGAACTGAATGAAGAGACGGCATCTTTTGGACGAATATGGGAGGTGAGAATTTGGGGTATATATGATTAAGATCCATTTCACACATGTAATTATTATTGTTAATGGTGGGTTAAGGTGTTTGTTCATCATGAGGATGGAGGGGGTAAGGTAGTTAGATAAAGATGTTTGGAGAGGCGACGTAGTCTAGTCAAGCAGTAGGTGGTTGAACGGAACAAGTGTTGTGTCATTTTATATGGTATAAATAAATATGTAATTGAAAAAAAATTAATAGCAAAGTAATTCATTCGTGGATAAAATAACCAATGGATACGAGTTTTATTTTGTATAGATAGACAACCATGACGTGTTCTCCAAAACTTGAGGTGTGTCATTTGAATGAGCTGGTTGGTTTCAATAATTTGAGTTTCTGGAAGAGGTTCAGTTATAGATTTTATATCATATACTAATACGCTTCTGATCAAACGAAAGCTAACTCATATGAGTTTGAACTTTGTAGTGGTTCGAATATCAAGTGCTTAACAAATGGGATTGTTAGGTTTTGAACAGAAGACCTTACAGTCACGAAAGTATCTGATATCGTATAAAAAAAAGTTGTTGAGTTGTTTGGAGAGGTTGAATTATAAATATTATAACATTTAGTAAGAGTGAAACACTCAAAATAGGCTGGGCCGCTGTATCGTGAGCAGCCATTTCATTTCATGTATTATATATAGAGAGGTCAGACTCGTGTACTCCTGAAGCATACTATGCTCCATGTATTCATAGTGAGATATCTCTATTGTCTTTTGAGGGATTGTTTGTGCGAATGAAATTTTGTAACCAATATCATCTGAATGTCAAGATCAAACTTATCTATTGTCAAGAACAAATTTATCTCACTAGTCAGAGTTATTAAAAAATTTTCAAGGGTGTATCTTAATTATACGATTGATTTACGCACCCTGGCATGTGATGTCAAGAATCACCAACTCAAAATTTTATGGATATTTCATGTATAAATCTTATGCTACTCCATAACATATTGAAATATAAAAAAAGCCTACAAATATACAGGGTTCGAAATATTCACGAACTATACCGTACCTCGTATGTAACAAATATTAATGTTGAAGCCGCGTTACTCCGAGCCTCAATTCCTCTCTCTCACGTATTGCACCTGTAAACAGGCGCGTGAACCCTACACCAACAAACGCCTAGTGGGCTAGAGTGGCCCGTTAGCACTCCGACGCTTAAGCCAGAGTCGGCTTTTAGAGAGAGAAGTAATCTCAAACTTTTAGTGAGAGAAGCCAACCTGCTTAAATGCTACATACCGAGTACTATTTATACTCGATGAGGCCCCGACCAGGCTCCTGGATCCCAGCTCCACGTCAGCGCATCATTAAATGCCTAGTACGGTCCAACGGTCGGATATCTACACGTGGCAGCTCCCAGACCCGACGCCTAGGCGCCTGGCAGGACCACATCTCCAGGTGGCACGCTCTCAGCTCCTTGGCCTCATAGCCGCATGGTCCCCGCGTCTATTTTGTCGTTATGCGCTCGGCACTCTGACTCTAGGCCCAACTCTTACCTTGTCTTCCCTGCCCTTAATTGGGTCCGGGCCCAATTAAGTCTATTGAGCCCATGTCCCCCATAGGCTTGCCCATATTTATCCAACAATTGTCCCCCAGTTAGGCGCTCATGGTTGAGCATGGGCGCCTAACTATATACACCGCTTGAGTTGTCCTTCCGACGCAATTTACTTCCCTTCGTACTTATACAGGCGCCCAACTTCTTTCCCCGCCTCTTTTTCCATCTGCCAACCATCCCACGCGCCTTTTACTGTGTAGGCGCCTATTCGATTGGATTTAATTCGTGCGCCTATACCCGCCCCCTCGCCGTGCGCATTCAAAATTCAAAATTCGAATTTT